AAAATAATCAACAGCAAGAACTACTATAATTAATGTTACTCTAATTACTATTTGATTTATATTGTTGTCTTGCAAACATCTCCAACTCTCCTCTAACCTCAACTGTAGCCAATTTTACCTTGTGTTAATTTGCTTTTTAAGATATCAACAGTTATAAACAGAAAAAAGACCACCACATCATTTTGAGCTTTTAGCACAAGCTTTTTAATTGAGTTTTTTTTACAGTCAGGTCTTTCATTTGAGAAATCATTTACATCATAATCGCAGGATTACCAGCAGTGACAACACTTCAGTTTGAGTAACAGCATCATCCCAGCCTCTTCTGAGAAGTACAGTAATGCCAAACCTTTCAGACTCACTGACGAATCGTCATCATCATTGTACAGAAACAACTATGTGTGTGACCCACTGTGTTGATACCTTACAGACAGTTATACACATGTTGACTACAAAATCCAGCACAAAGGTGCCAATGATTCAAACATGTCATCACAAAAGGCAGAGTACTATAAAGACAACTGAAGAGTTATGGTGGTGCAGAGAATGTTGTTTGAGGTGATGTTGGCTGATGATAACGTGCAAAAAAATACAGATACTGGGAGGGGCCAACGCACTCTCCCCAGCCCACATTCAGTAGCAATGAATTTGATGCAAATGGAATAACACAAAGGGCTGACATTTACTTTTCCACTTTGGTTTACAGTATGTGCGGTTGGCCTTTAAATCAGTTGTGATCATTTTGAACATGACTCCTTCTGTCGACCCCTTTTAGGTCCCACCCCCGAAAACCTGATAACATACCCCGCAGGGGAATAGCAGCCTAGTAGGCTGATTATAGTACTGAATTGATGACACTTCCTTCTCTTTATTGGTCTGTGCGAGAAAAAAAAATGGTTTTGTGTTTCACGTTTATTTCCTGTTTTCAGTTCAGCTCATTGCAGCTGTGTATCCATTTATGTCAAACCACCAGTGCCTGTATCCCCACATCCCAGTGCCAGTTTCCTACAATAAACCTGTAGCTGTCGGCCGCATGACAGCCCTCAAACTGTGTCTTGCTTCCCAGTGTATTTTCACAGTTCAAGTTGATCAGCAGGTGTGCACTGCTCTACAAAACCCCACTTTCTCTCTTTTTGTCACGTTCTCTCTCGTTCTCTATCTTCCTGTGTCAAATGCATTCATCCCTCTCTCTCATTCTCTCTCAGTTTCTCTATTGTTGTTTCTCTCTGTCTCTTTCCCACTCTATTAGTCTGACTTACCAAGAACCATCTAATGTGCGTGCTGATCTTATTTACTTCCCAAACTTGCACTTGCTGCCTTTGCTCTCTCTTTAACCGTGTTTTGCTCTTCTTCTGACTTCCTCACTGTCTTTTCTAGAGTCAGATGCAGCTGCACATTTTGCTTTTGTCTTAAATGCTTCTCTCTACTTCGCTATCTCTTTGAGTGTGTTGTTCACCCCATAGTTCCTCCCCACTAGACTGCATAACGCGGGTAAGCAAAGGAAGGAAAGTGGAAGTTCCCCCAGTCCTACTTCCTCCCCACGGTCTTTTAAGCGCTCTGACCACAAACCATTACCCAGAGGCCTTTGCAATGACACTAAGTCTTCCTCACCAACATCATGGTGTCTGTGCTCAAGGTGTCAAAAGGATGGTCTCTAACTAGCAGCTTTACTTCCAGTTGAATGCAAACATAGATATTATTTGCTTAGCAACCTTGTGGAAGTTAATGTATTTATTTGCATGAACTGAGAATTTTTTGAGGACCTTTCATTCATTCCATTGCTAACATCGCAACAATCCCACCACTGAACTTGTTACATCAGACAAGTGGGTTGACACTGTGGTAAGAGCCAGAGGTGCAATGTCCTAATACCCAGTATTCCCCATCGATTCTCAAGGACATTAGCACCACCCCTTCCACTATCTCACCTCCAATGTTTCAACACTGACATTACGCCAATCAGTAACTGAATTGCATTAATCTTTTCCCAGGTTCTCACATTACATCAAACATAAGCTGCACACACTTGACAAAACTATTGCATGTGATTCTACAGTGCTCCAACAAGCCTTACTAACTTCTAAAATATGGGTGTGTAACAGAAACGAACTGGGTGTGTGCATGTCTTTGCTGGTGTGTGTGTGTGTGTGTGTGTGTGTGTGTGAAGTTTTAAGGGCCAGTCCAAACATCCACCACCACCTGGCAGGAAAAACAGGAATAGAACTTGTCACCATGCAATTGCACAATCTTGCTGTGGATTCGCACTCTGCTGAAAAAGATCTGGAACTGCTCCCTGCACTGAAACATGAAACCCAGAGGAAAGGCTATGCCACTTGAAGTTTAGACAAAAGTAACATTGATTCTAAGGAACTCAAAAATGACAGTGGCCATACACCATTCTTTACAGCTTTGTCATATGTGTATGTTAACCACTATCAGGTCGCTTGTAAGTATACATTGCTTCTGTTTAGTAAAATCTGTTTTCTGCCCTGGTTTATTCATTACTCATGCTGTTTACTGGTTAATGTTTGTCACTCTAGTGCCACTGTGATGGGTGTTTTGGTGTTGTGTGTTAGGTGTGTATGTGTGTGTGTGGACTGCAGTAGTTTCCAATGCTTTTGACACCTCCAAACAGCTCTTATTGTCAAACAGGATCTGCAGAAGAGGCAACATGGGCAGTGGAACCAGACATAGGAAGTCTCTCAACCAGAGCCACAAATCTGCCTCAGCCCAAACCAAATAGGTTATACAACACTCATTCTAATAAAAACTACCTCATACAAACACACAGCGTTTCTGATATCTATAATGTACAAAGCCCGCCGAAAATGTTGAGAAGTTATGTATTGTTTAAAAACAAAACACATTCATACAGTTCAGACAGCTGGACAATGGACAATGTCAAGAGATCTTCAAACTACTTGCTACTTTGAGCCTTTCACACTGACCATATACACCCCGTTATGGCCACAGTCTCCAGTGTTGCATGGTTCCAGCGGGTTCACATACCATCATCTTCACTGATGGTTCAAAAACATGACATTGACAGAGTGGTTTATTTTCCAGATGTTTACACCCCAAAAGCCTAAAAAAATCATCAGGAAGTTATTGTATGAAATAATAGATTACCCCTTTACTTCACACTTAACACTTAACAGTCTCTAGCACAGACTGTCCTGCACCATTCTTTAACATGGTGGGTATTTATGACTGCCTGCAGTACACCACATCCTCACCCAAACCACAAGCAGCAGTTGACATAGGGGTTGTTCAATGAAGAGGAGATTTAGCCCTTAGCAATGGTTGACTGTCCCCCAAAGAGCAATGCCTAGTCTCCATACCTTGATTATTAACAAAGTTGAGATTAAGTTGTCCTCAGTGACGATAACACTGCCACACAGTACCTGGCAGAATTCCTTTGCATTCCCCCAAAACAAAACTTTCCAGTTTCCTTAACTCAAGACAAAAGTTAGGTTAAAGAATGCTAATAAAGGTTCAAATGGATGCAATAATTAATTTTTTCCCTCTTAATACGTGGGATGTTTGAGAAAAGGCATTCTACCAGAAGCATACCCTAAAAGTGAGAAGAGGTGTATCACTCCTGTGTTGAAAGTATGAGTCAACCAGAGATACGATCTAGATGGGAACAATCAACTGACAGTCAGGTAAATAGAGGAATCTGTAGATGAAAAGATACAGTTTGGGGTCTGTGCAGACTTTATACTTCTCAGTTGTGCTACCGCCTTCAGGCGGCTTTGATTTTGTGTGTCTGCTGCATGAATATGTGTGTGTGTGTGTGTGTGTGTGTGTGTGTGTGCAATACACAGATTAAAGAAGTAAGGGGGTGAAGAAGACTGCTCTGACATTTAGAGGCTTCAACAGGCTCCAGCGCCCACCTGTTCATAGACAAAGGCTGGAGAGGAACAAACACCAGTCATTACATTGCAAACTAAGGCAAGGCACTGAGGCTGTATGGTATGGTGTAGCAAGTCTGGCTGCACACTACATTTCTAGAACTTATTCTTTTCATACAGATAGAAGATTTTATGTACAGAACTGTATATATTCTGCAACCAGCTACCTCAGATTTGCTTGTCAGGGTACTAGAACTTTATTGCTGGCTTTAGTTTTACATGGCTCTGCTCATGGTAGACGATCCTTCATGTCAGTAACGGACCACAAAAATAAATGCTCCTTGACCTTAAAGAAAATTAAGATAAATCAAACACCAGCTTCTTCTATAAGAAAACTGTTACACTGCCAGTGTGGACCCAGTAATTCACAATTATGGCTTAATTGTATCACTCTAATTATCTTTTCATTCCATGATTCATGTCCAGGAAATGGTTATTAAGGTTTTCAAAAGGAACATTCAGCCTAAAAGAGACTTCACGTACTGTATGTTATTTTTTTATAACTATTTATATTGTACAGAATTTAAATGTGTGTGTCATTAAGCTGAACAGCAGAGAGACAAAGTGTGGTGAGGAAAGTTTTGCTCTGTGGCCAGTAAATTATACTATAAAGTTAAGAATAACTCTAAGACAGATGACCTGGGCTGGGCCAATAAGACATTTTCTGATATAAAGCCAAAATTAAAATGAAACACATTTGGATGGAATATAAAACAAATATTGTGGAGTCATCAGAGTCACTAATTCATCAAGTGTCACCTGACGATCAATTAACTACTTGATCCTTGTGTCTGTGTTTGTGGATTTCGATTTTACTGTGTAAAACAACTTGGATAACATCATTCATATTCTACTGGTGCTGGATTTCCCCTTGGTGATTATGGTCAAAGTCATAGTTATAACAGTAAGTTATACCATACTCAAGACATGTTTAACCCTTTGTCAGTTTCATGACCTTGCATGTTTTTCAAAAGATTCTAGCACAATCTTTTTTTTCCCTCACAATAAAATTGTTTAATTACAGTTTTCATGTTTTGAAGAAAACTATATAAAATAGATGAATTCTTTGTTCAAAATCCACACAACGGCCAAGGCAGTAAAATCATTTATTTAATAGAGAGAAACCCATGCCTTAAAAATATACATTGTATTCTTCACAGCAGTGTGTCTTCATGTAATGTCATTGATGTCAAAAACAGGGCTGAACAAACCTCCAACTTCCTTCACCACATTCACTGTGGACTGATTTAAGTCATGAGAGATGACCAAACAATTTCAATTACTGTTTATCTTTTTGATAAATAAATCACATATTTTAGGACATAAAAATACACAACCATTGCAAATACCTGAGAGCCCTCATATCAGAAAGTTGTTTTCATTATCAGAGATGGTCAATCGGCGCACATTTCTGGATAATTTCAATATTCAGTGCCAAAATATACACCTTTCATATATTATTTCTTAAAAAATACAATGCACCTGAACCCAGTCTTTTACATTTTTGTAAACATTTTTAAACTTAAAAAAACACACAAAAGTTCACAAAACTATTTCAGCAGAAAAATAGACATTTAGCACACGCATATTCAAAATTTACAAAAACATCCCCGAAATCTGAAACTATAGCAGTGATTTTGATTTTCAAGTAAACTCCTCACTCACAAGGAGCGCTGACATAAGACCTTCTTTTATTTGATTTTTGTTCATATGGCTGCTTCATTTAAAGAATTTGTGTACAAGTAAGGCTGTCGTTATTACAACATTACTATGAGAACATACAAAATATCTCTGTGCCACAAAGTCTTAGCAAATATACCCTGGAGAACAAGTGAAAACTGAGAAAAAAACATTTAATTTGAGCATCGGTCAGATATTATACCCAGTTCAATTTGACTTAGTTCTGGTCTGATTATTGTGTTCCTTGCGAAGGGGATTGATAAAGAAAAATCAGGGTAAAATCAAATTACATTTGATCATTGGATTATTAAGAGGAGAGGGGGACCCCTCTCTTAACAAATAAGGCTTCAGATAATGAATATATACAGGAATAATATAATAGAGGAATGTATAGAGTCAGTATCACAGCTGCGAGGTGTAAACAATTTCCAGTGCCAATACTTTACACATAGTAAGTTTTTATGCTAGCTGGGCACCAGTTGCGCATAAGAGAAGCAATATGTAAACAGAGAAAAGCTGCCTTTTGATCACAAGTAGACACTGAACATAAATGAGTTAATCACTGAGTTTAATCTTAGAGAATAATCAACTATGTATGATGCTGACCAGTGTGAAACTAGTGATGTCAAACTTACTACTGTTACAAAAAAAACTTTTTCGTCAGACAGCACAGCAAAACCTACACTAGAGTATTACTTTCCAATGTGCTCTAAGATTGCTGTTTCAGAGAAAAACCTAACCTGTGTTCTGTTAATGGTTGTTTTTGACTTTGCCTACACTTAAGTTACACTTAATATAACTACTTAAAAAAAAAAAAATCAATACTACCTATAGTCAGGGCATAGACTTAAAGTGCAGGGCCAAATGTACAATGCACAGTATTAGCAGGGAGATACATTTAACTATCAAAGAGCTACAAATGTTGATCGAAATCTGTTATCCTTCAACATACTGTAGATGACGGACAAAACATTTGGAGGTGGGTGGAAGCGGCTTTTTTCATACTTGCCATCTTCTACATGCATACATAAGTTATTGTTAGAGAAGGTTTGCAGAGTTGACTTTGAATGAAACAGTTTTGGGAAGTGTCTTCAGAGTAGTACTATGTGGTGACCACACTCCTCTCATTTTTCCTCTTGCTCATGCTGTCTCCTTCAAGATTCCCTCTAAGGTCATACAAGAATGTGGCCACATTATGACAATGCAAAGAGCAAGATTCAGCGAGAGAGGAAGCGTGAGATACATTAGTGTGTGTGTGTGTGTGTGTGTGTGTATGTGCTTGAGATTGTGCTGGTAGGGATTGGGTTGATAATACTACAGTAAGAAATCAATTACATTTTAGGTATTCAGCTGCAATTCAAACTGCACTATGCAAAATTTTGAGGTGCCAAGGATAAAGCACCTCAAAAAATATATTTTTTGTGCAGAGTCGGTGATGTTTCCCTGTATTTGTCATGACATACAAATAAGATGGAAGATGGCATTGAAACCAGACATATGGTACATACATACATAAGTATGTATTTACCGTGTTAGAACACATCACCAATAATGCAGACCCTACTTGACCCCATACCCCAAGCACTGAAAAACAAATATAACACTATACACACCTATATACACACAAAGCCATCCAGTCTAAATCACAAAGAGGATTAGATCAAAAAGAGAGACCTAAAGCATAAAGGGAGGTACATCAGAGAAGAGTAACCCTCTTAGCCTGAGCAGTACCTTTAGCCTCCATTATCCATTTGGCATCCATTGCCATGAAGCATCATACTCCAGCCAGGTAGTTAAATGACTTCTAGATTTTTAAGTCATCAAAATGAAGAGTTACTGTACCTCCCCTAAGCCATTTTATGGTGTCACTGTGTGAGTCTGCCAGATTGAAAAACAAACAATGATGCTCAAAGTATAGGAACCTAATCGTGTGCTCATACTGCAAGCAACCAGGGTCTGATAATTTTCTATAAGACCAACCAGTGAAAAAAAAACAAATGGTTTATTATGGTGTGGAGAATGCATTAGCTTGACAGCTAAGAAGAGAAAAAGTTGAGAACAAGATGGCCATGGCTGAACATTTTAAGGTCAAAGAACTGATAGGCTACTGTCTTATTTTTCTTTGCTTTCTGATCAATAGTTCAAGTACAAACTGAATAGAGGCTGATCACTATGGAGAGAAATTAGTCCCAATACAACAAATGCAGAAATAAAAATGTTTGCAAATATATATATATATATATATATGTATTTGTGTATTTTACCTTTTTTTTTATTTTCGAAATTCATTGTCTTAAAACATTGGAGTTTTTTGAAAATGCTTCTTGTGTACAATTTTTCAGAATAGTTTGATTTGATTTTTTGACAGGACCTGCAATACATTACAATACATACAGGCCAACAACAGGAAGTCGAAGTTTATTAATTACGGCTATCACCTCAGCAGAATCCTATGAAGTGGTTAAAAGGTAGGTTCAGATAGCTTTGGGGCCCTTTTATAGAGTTAGCATTAGCTTTAAAGTGTAACTTTGGCTTATACTTCACCAACTTCACAAATTTGTTAATAATGTGAACCAGAATCATATTTAAAGCAATGTATGTATATAACAATTATTTGAATTTGTTTGAGTATTTGGATAGGAAAGTGCATTTATGATAAACATAATGGTCCACAATGTGATATACAGTACATCTGTAACTGTAGTTTTTATTTGTGTTTAGAGATTCCTTCAAGAATAACAAATTCAAAACACTGTATTTGTTGTATCCATTATTGGGAGTCATTGGTAAAATCTGAAGTAATTTCTAATAGTATTTTAAGTAAGTAATTTTTATTTATATATTATTTATTTTATTACAACCCTGGTAGTAATCTATGTATATACATTATGTATGTTATTTAAATTATGCAGTTATACAAAGCAACACTAGAGCAGAACAGAATACTTAAGATGATGGCACGACTGTTTAAATTTCTACTAATGCAGATAGATACAGACACAACCACACCACAATCAATCAAATCCAAACTGACACCAAGTTACTTGCAGATAGAGGACACAGCACCAGATGACCATACCATTATGTGTACTACACCATTGATCATAGGAAAATGCATTAGCATTGTGGATTGCCAAGGGAATGTCATAAAAAAGAAAGAAGATGTTGTGTGCTATGTCACAGTAAGTGGGCCAGTTCAATACCATACTGCTATTATGTTCATGAAAGAATTCATGAACAGTAGTAATTCTTTTTTTTCCTTTAACACTGTCATGAGTGTTAATCATGGCAATCTATCTGGTTGAACTGAAACTTTAATCTTTAATCTTATCCAGGCCATTAAGCCCACAGGGTAGGAACATGGTCTAATATTTGTATGTATTCATTACTTTTTAAGAGTGAAAAACATAACAAAAGAATGATGAGCACAAAAAAGACATTTTTAAACAAGGCTAAAATGAAAAAACTAGTCCAAGTCATCTGACAGCTGCTCTGTTATACAATTTATGACCATTTTGAAAAAACACAATAAACTTACCTTCCTTCCTCTACATTTATCTTTATTAAATATATAGAAAATGTGTCTTTGGCCCATACCTTCATATGATTGTTCAACTGTTCAGATTCCCAATAAGTAGCTTAAAGAGAAATCTATGCTATGATTGTGCTACACTTGTCTACAGTGTCATTCGACTGTGTAGTCTCCGAGGTCTGGGGATAAGGACGGATATCAGGCTATTGCTTCCCTTCTATGTCTTTCCCTTAATTCCTACCCATCCATTTATTGGAAGGTGTGTTCACCTCGGACTATGTGAGAGGAGAACTCATAGCGGTCTTTGCTGCGGTGACCACAGATGTTGCACTCCAGTGGATCTCTGTATCCATGGCAACCCATGTGGATGGTGTACATGACATGGTCCAGGAAGAGCACCCGACAGTGCTCGCACTGGAAGGCCCGCAACTCCTGGCCCTCTTGTCCAAACACCCGCACCCCTTCCTGGCTCATAGGCCTCTCTGTGGCCACTCGCATTATCCCACTCCCCATTCCTGCTCCACTTCTTGGGGAAGCATCTGTCAGCCGCTCACTTGAATAGACCACAGCTGGACTGGCCCGAGACCTGAAGCCGGAATGGGGGTTGCTCCCATGGTAGCCCTGCTTCTCTTGAGGGCTGCTGCGAGCTGAGTCAGCAGAGTCAACTCCACTGTTGTTGGGAGATTCCTCTTGCCCTTTCTGGGGCGGCTTGCCCTGCCTGGTTGCAGTGGGGCCATTTGTGGTGGGGTGGCTGGGGAAGTCATGTGGATGAGATGGCAGCGTGTCACAGTTTCCTTGACGCTCTGTTCGTTGGGCCAATGGTACGACATGGTGGAAGAGGGGGTTGACCATGGGCACCACATCAGCTATAGAGAGAGGGGGACCTGGATGGTGAAGCATGGGTCGAAGTGTTTCCGATCCCAGGTATGTCATGGCATTGTTGATGGCCTGGTCCATCATGTGGGCCGGCATCAGATCAGCCTGCTTCTCATACTTAAGGCCCATCTCATAGCCTAGTTCAGGGTAGCTATAGCGCAACATCTTTTCACCTGCATGAAAGAGAGTAGCAATTTCAAAATGTAATATACAAAACCAAATAAATACAGATGCAATAGCAGAAGTGGTCGGCAACACTCTTGCTTTTAGCTACTTACAAGAGAGGAAAAAAATACACAAATATGAAAATTTTCCTTTCTAGCCAGTCAATCTTATATCTTGCTGATATTTCACTGCTTGTTTTTCTTATTCTGTACTTGATGTTCTGTTTGTACGAGTCTATTGGGGTGGAAAGCCCCATCCATCTACTACTGCACTGTTTAACCCCTCCAGAACAGGGATGCGGTGAGCTGTTTTCTCTCGATAAGAGCAATGGCAAAGTTACAGGTGTACCTAACCACAGAGTGAAAAACATTTCCTTGCCTCTCAGTCAACCGCTTGCTCTAGTTTGCTCAATCTGTCTCTCTAATACTGTGGCAAATAAAACCAAATTCTGAAAAAAATAATCTGTGCTCATATGTAAGGTAGGGCTACTATGTGATATTATATAATTTTAAATGATGCAACACTGAATAGGCAGGAGGGTTGGATAACAAGAAAGCACAAAAACAAAGAATTAGGTAAGTTAATGACATATTTCCATTCCAATAGTATAAAAGTGAAACCAGTAGCAAAGTATATTACATGATGACAATTTAAATAATGCATTCTGAGACTCCTGCAAAGAAATTGTTAAATTGTTGTTCAAATTCCTCTGGCTGCATAGACAAATAATACATTTCTTTCACCCAATGAGTCAGACTCAAGTTAAGTTAAAAGCCATAGTCAGCATGATGTGATTTACACAGCAGTGCATAACACAACAAATCATTTTTCAACTACTTCATCACCTTCAGACTAACTAAAGAGAAAGCCATTAACTTCCTAGCTATATTTCATTTACCCACCCACAAATTTTTGAGGTGTGGTGCTCTTCCTTTTGCCCACATTATTATGCAGCCTTTCAATAACGGGCGGCCGGTCAAAGGTGGCCATGGTGTTGGCCTCAGCTATGGGCCTCGGCTCTTTAGGAACCTCACCTTGAAAGGTAGAGAAGGGAAGGGGGTTAGAAAAGGCAAGAATACATTTGGGTGTTGAATAGAGGGACTCCTACGCATTGAAAAGTAACATTGCTAAATCAAACGATCCCTTTTTTTGGGATGTGCCAACGAAACAGAATTCAAATTTCTGTTTTATATCAGAAAATCTAACCATAACCTCAGTTTAACTTTAACTCATAAACGTTCCTAATATCATAGGAAATGTTAATGGTATTCAATTGTGTTTAAAGAATGAATGAATTAACTATTTAAGCAGTTTAGTAATTATAAATAAATGACCAAATTTGCACAAATTCACTGAACAGAGAATAAAAATTGGGATAAAATACATTGAGTAAATAATAAATAATTTTTTTAGTATTAATGTAGTAATAATACTAATTCTTATTCAAATATATTCCTTCCATTCCTTCCAATTATCCCAATGAATTGATAATCCATAAAAAACATCACAGTGTACATGTTAATACTGATTTTCTCATGTGAGATCAAACATTTTTGCCACATTTAATTGTACTGTAATACTGTTTCCATTACACCATAACCACCTTCATTTTCATGGTTTCAGTTTTAGTAAAACAATTTACCTGTGTAAGGGCCAGTATTGGCGGTTGGATCCAAGCCGATACCCTGCAGGTAACTATGGCAGCGTTCTTTATGTTCCTCCAAGGAAGTACGCTGTTTGTAGCTCCGCCCACAGTAGTTACACTTGTGTGGTTTGCCAACTAAAAGTGAAGACATCGGAGGGTGAGCATATTAATTTCATTCACTGCTGAACAGACAGAGAGAGTGGGTAGCATCCAATGAGATAATGCAACCTGCTGCAGTGTTCAGGCAATGCGTAGTAGTAAAAACCGTGAACAGTCAGTAGTACAGACAAACCAGCCTCTGAGATCATGGATGTTCCACTACTAGTGTGAGGATTCCACACAACTGTTGCCAGACAGAAAGACAAGTTGTGGGGGCGACAGTGATAGTTGCATCATGAAGTCTGCATTTCAAAACACTTCAGAAAGCATCCCATGGTGGCGGTAGGAAACTGACTCCAAAGTTAAACTACTATGGAGGTGGAGTGTGATTCATTGTGCCATTTCTAGTTTATTCAATTCCTTCCTACCTAGACAAGTGGAAAGATAAAGACATATCCTTTACATCTATCTCGGTCAAGCAATCAGCCCATCTATCCTTCCTTCCATTCATCCAGTTTGCTTTATCACATAATTAATGGATCCATGCATCAATGGATTAGTGAATTTATAAATGCATTAAAAGGTGAACATATTGATCAATCATATTTGTCATTACAAGACAAATATAAAAATTAACATGATTTATGTATTACTTAAATTATGTATAATTGTCAGGTGTCAATATTTCATTACACTTTGAATGAATTTCACTTAAGCGTGACTGCTATGTTTGAAAGACATTATTATCCACCAGTATCCACCAGGAAGGCACGTAGTTATGAGTTGACCAGCAATGCACAGATTATAGAAATATAGGAGAGCCGCAATATAGTCAATATTTTTTAAAGTCACCAGGGTCATCACCTTTGTACAATGGAACTAAATAAAATGTTTTCATATTAAGGTAAAACCTGAATTAAAAATGTGTAAACACATCAACGAAAAATACTGCATTAAAGTAATCGTACCCAAGCAGACACTACTGAGGAAATAGGTCTGGTTCTGTGGTAGAGTATTCTCAAAACTAATGTAATGACTCATAAAGGGACACAGTGAGTGAACTGGAGGCCACATAAGCATATCAATGTGACCCAGACACCATCATTAGTAATTTGATGTAGTAAGACATTCACTAGCACAATGGTGACAGCTATTACTAGACTAAAAGGTGCGGATGATCCAGTGCTCTTGTCACTGTGAGAACAGAGAAACCAAACACGTTTCAGTCTGAGGCATGGAGACTGTAACACACATACACACATGCAGACACACACAGTTAGAGGTAGGTGATAGTTCACACGTGAACGTAAGTACTCTTTCTCCCACAGAAAAGGATGTTGAGTTTCTTTTTTTTAAGCACTTAACATGTTCTACAAGAAGACAAGTTACTCTAAACTGAAAATCCCTTTAGCTGTAAATGTTACATTTTCTTCTGCTCCTTGATGATTTGTATGGCTGAAGTAAAACCCACTTGTTTCAAAATGACATGGCCAGTCATGGCCAATCTTGCATCAGTATGCACTTTTTTATGTGAATCATGTGGAATGATAATATTTTTTCAATATCTGTCATCCAGTACTCTTGTGGTCTATGAATGACATTGTATCGGCAGAACTCGAAACAAAGGTTCATTATCATTTTTCATCAGTATGAACATACTATGAAAAGTGGTGTCTAATGACGAAAGGTTTCCGTATTATTATAGGGTGGGTGTATCTGCAGGGTCATTGCAGTAATATTCTTTCTGAGTAGTGAAAGAGTAACTTCTAAATGAAATGTCATGATGGAAATAATTTTCTTTGCTGCTTTCCAGCCGTGAAACTAAAACAGTGGAGTAGGCAGTTTTCAACTGAGTGTCACTCCCTTGTTCTCAGTGGCTCACATCTACACACTCTCAAGCACACACACACACAACATAGACTTCATTACTTTTTCATATTTATGTAACCACCCACACACGACCATGTGCAGATGTTGGATGGACCTGAATAATCCACCTTTCAGCCGCTATTCTTATTCATGCAAATGGTCCACACTGTGCACTCAGACTCACTTGACTGATTGCATTTGTCTAATAAATGAGAACTTGCTCGAATTTAAACCTTTTGTCTTACAAAATGTTAAATTTGTCGCCTCTCAAGCATTGCCTTTCCTGCATTATCCTTCCACCCATGAACACTGCATTAACGGATAATGTCAACTTACAACATTTAACCCGGCCTTAGGGACAGCAGCCAAATCCAACACACTTTTGTTCTACCCTCTTTAGTATTTCTCACTCTTGTCGTACGTTTTTCCTCACCTGACCTCTCTTTCAATGCTGTGTTTCCCTCTTTTGGGTACATCTGTTCTTCCTGACAGGGCACCTAGCCAGAGCTGCCAGCCCCCCCCTCTCGTGTAAGTAAAAGAGCGTCATGACACAACTGGCAACATCCAATTCCTCACATCTCCCACTAAATGACCAGAGGAAGGCAGGTGTAACTTACTACTCATGATCTTACAGGAAAAAGGGGTTGGCGGATGTAACAAATGCAGCTGAACAATAAAGGAAGTGAAAGTAGGAAAATGGTCATTGCTGATGGTGGATGGCAGATGTGGAGAAACAGATAAGTAAGAAATTGATAAAAGAAGCATCGTAGTAACAGCTGGGACAAAAATTACACATATGCAAACACACAGAAATTGTAAGCAAACACATGGATGCACACCCAAACAAACACCATATCGCTATCTTGAAAGAAAACTGTGTATGAGTAACCTTCATAGGGGGTATTATAGGTAGAAATGACAGTATTGTCTGACCTTGATTTCAAAGGTGCAAAAGAGGGGAGAGTACATCCTCTCAGATAGGAAAGTGGGTTACAGTTGAGAGAGACAGCCAGCAGTCCCCACCACAAAGCGCTCACAGTGCTGTCTATAATATGCACATTAAACACCATTGTGTCTTTCCAACAGTAAAACACGACAGAGAGTCACTAACCAGCATGTATGGCTACTCTGTCTACAGTCACACAAAGCTTTTGAAGACAAACATGTCTCAGGACAACATTTAAGAGGTTCTTACAAAGCCTGCAGACAGTTTCTTCCTGATGTATGTGTATACAAAAATGATTCAGCTTTCTGAAGGTACGTTTCAGTCCTGAGATCATTGGTTTCCAAAGGAGTATTTTTCAAGGTTCCTACATTATGTCAGAGGCAGACTGGAGTGATTAAGTACATACACAGAGCAGTGGGAGAGAGTGTGGACATGTAACACAAGAAAAATATTATGGGGGGAAATATTTAGCAGGAGTCTTACAACAAATATAGTCAATCTCACCATTAAAATCATTATGGGTAGAATATTTTTCCTTCTAGATCTCTTAAGCACTTCTGATGACATAAATGAAGTCTCTTCTGGGTAATAGAAGCAGATGAGTAAAAAGGAAAGACAAGAGAGGGAGGAGGAGTCTTACCAGCATGAGTGCGCAAATGACCGGAGAGGGCATCACGCCGCCGGCAGGCATAGCTGCAGAAGGGGCATTTGAAGGGTTTTTCGCCTGTGTGCAGCTTGATGTGTCGCAGCAGGTTTCCCTTCTGGGTGAACGAAACGCCACACTGGTTGCACTGGAACGGCCTGTCACCTGATAGAGGCAGGCACAGGAAGTCAATACCACACTCATTGTGGAAGATGTTTTTAGAAAGTGCAACCAATTTTTTGGTCTCTAAGAGAACTCATTTGACTTTTTTGTTTTTGTAACTGACTGCTGACTATGTCTAGCTGCTTTATAGAAATCTAGAAATGAAATATCATGTATATATATATATGTTCTGACATATGACTCCTTAAACTTCATCTGGTAGATGATAATTAATGACAATCAAACAAAACAGCTGTTCAATTTAACCTCATAGTCATTACAATAAAGAATTATTTTCTCTATCTATAACAGTTCGTAAATAGTTACAGTAGTTTTAAACAAACGTGCACTAAAGTGAACTTCCTTGTGTTGAAATGAATAAAAAAAAGTATCAATTCTGTTCTGTTGGACTGTTTTACATTTTATATTACAGTGTATTTTACTCTAACTACACTGTATTGAATCAAATAAAAATTTGATATATCTGAACTTGCATATTATCCCCTTGTTTGCTTCATTCCAAAGACATGCACATCAGGTAAAGTGGGTATATTGCGGAGGTCTATGCAAAGACATTAGTGGAACTAAGTACATACAATTCTCACTGAGGGCTGTACTGCATTTACTTTTAATATTTTCCAGGGTAATGAAAGGGAATGTGTGTTTCAGTCGCTCTTGTAGTGTATGATGGACTTTATATCATGTGGAATCATGCAGTTCAGTGCACACTTCTGATTTTACAGGGACTCATAACTACTGTCTTCTGTTGGCAAGTCTTTCGATCTCTAGCCAGTTGGAAAAGAAAAATATGATCCCAATGCTGTGACAACTAGAGCAGTGGTGGCGTCAGTTGGAACAGGTTGCGTAGGATTCCAAGGATATTTTCCCTGATAATAATTCCAAGTCAAAGCTATTGTCTTTCAACAAAAAAAGAAAAAAACACTGAAAGCACTCCACACCCACTGTAGAGGAAAACAAATGATTTCTGACTCACCCTGAAGATGGGGAAACATATACACTGCCCTGATTTCAATCATTAGAAAAAGAAAAATCCCGTGTGACAATTCTACCAGACTTAGCTTAATTGAAGTATTAGATGCTCTTAATGGCATTTGGAAATATACTGATTGGTACCGTTTGGTTGTCGACTTCCTGCATCAGCTGTCACATTTGGTCCAGATAATCCATCCTGTCCATTGCTTGGGCTGCCAGTCATGGATTCCTCCAATCCTTCTCCTTCCTCCCTTATTTGGCCTATTTCTTCAAGCGCTGGGCTTCTGTTGTCAGCCTCCTCCGCTGTTTCCTCCTCTTGCTTAATTGTCACTTCTGTAAAACAAAAACAACAGCAATTCTGAGATGCACAGCTTACAGTGTCAAATTCACTCAAAGCAGGTTTTATAGAAGTGCCATAAACAACCATGAACCATACATCTATGTGACCTAGGTTGAACAGATTACACTAAAAGGGCCTGTGTTAATTTGCAATAGATGGAGTCCAACTAGGTAAGGTCAAAGAGAGGGAGTGTAAGGTTAAGGTTAAGATTAGGGTTGGAGGTTGAGTAGCCTCTGTAGAATTAAGTTAAACTGTAAAGGCCTGACATAAACTGTGTTGGTCTCATTAAATGGGCATGTGAAGTGGACATCCCAGCAACTCAACAACTCTTAGACAGCATTAGGATGGACTGACACATTGACATGAGATAAAAAGAGAAACAGGCTGGTCTGGTTCCTGGCTGTCCCTAAGGAGAAAGGGAGTGTCAGAGGCCCCGTAGCTTACAACACCAGACACGCAATGGGAGACCGACTGGATGACAAAGGCAAAATATCATGTAATTGTGTATATGTTTGGGTGGTTGTGGCGGGGCCATCGACTATTCACCACCTGCGGTCTCTACTTACCAGCAATTAGTAGTACTTGTAGACAAAAAAAATTACTATCCAGAAGATAGCAATACACATGCAACACACATTGCTACAACTAGTACAATACACGAAAGTCTTGTTCCAATAATCTCTTGGACTGTACATACTCTTTACTGTTCAGTCAACCAGAAAATCTGTTTCAAAATATTCACCCAAATTCTCGAGCCTGTTTCAGACGACAAAGCCGAAACATTGCTGGGTTTGGTAATTGAGACAGAATTATTTTATTCTGTACAAACCAAATGAGATGACAGTTTAGGATCAAGGCAATGCTTGAGCAAGACTTGAATGCACAACTCTAATAGTGCCACAAAGGAGCTTAATTTTGTCTTCTGAGGGAGAGGAAAGAGTCCCTTTGTCTTGGAGTTCACACCATTTGTAGACATTTGCACACACAGGCTATATATACAATCAAATTTACCATGTTACAAAAGCCATACTGCGTTCAAGCAGAATGTAGTGATATTTACAGCTTCTTGTGCTGGGCTTGTTTAGTCTTTGTACATCTGTCATTAGCAACAATATAAAAAAAATGCTTCACACAGGGATTACGCTGCTTTTGTTGTTTGAATTATGCTTGTGATTCTGGGGCATATAGTAAAACTTGATATGGCTTGATCCCCCCATAGTATACTTGAATTTGTTCCCACAACAGCTGTGACAAAAGATATCCAAGAATCACACCAGGTAATGACTCTTAAAAAGGGAGTGTCTTCCACTAAAAACCAGCAAATCAAATTAACTGGTCTTGTTAAATATATGTGAAAGGGGCTTTAGATGTAGCACGGAAAAAAACGTCTGGACACCATCCAAGAACAACTTACTGATCCTGATGATCCTGTTTTGGGATTTACAGGAGCAATAATCACTGTGTGTGCATAGGTGGTTGTTTTACCAAAGCCTGCCATCTGATTGCATCCATCAACTGTCCCCTCAGGCTTTGGAACTGGATCCACTCAGAGGCTAGTAAAAGATATTTAGAAATTCAGGTAACATTCCCTTGGAGAGAAATCTCCACAATGCAACTGCATTATTTAAACTGATTCTGTATGTTTCTGATGCCATGGTTTGTACAGAAGAAACACTCATCCCAATAACCACATTGTGATCAAGGCTTGTCTTCGACAGCTGTATCCTGGCAACACAGAGCAGACCTGAACGTCCTTGCTATTCAGCTCCTTGCATCTTTACATCTATCTCTCCAGTGTGGCAGAGTGGAATGCATAGTGGTCAGATGAGCATGCACTTGAAACGGTTGCTACAACAAAAATGATGACAATCATCAAGATGCAGTTTTGGCATATTTCCTCCCCTCTCTTTTAGATACAGAGTTTCCCAAAATCCTTAGCAAATCACAGGGAAAGCAACACATCTTAATGAAGAAAATGTTCTTTCACTTTTATAACCTAAACTGTCACCTAGCCCAAAGGGTGTAATTCTACTCTTCTACCTTTTATTACCTGACAGACTGTACAATACCTAGATAACTGCTGAACAGTTTGTGTTTAAGCTTGCAAGTTTAAGAATTTGGCACTGAAATTGACACACACTTCATGCTTATTTTCATCAGATAATGTGATGCAGTCCTTCTTTTGTAACAAAACCTCAAATAGCAAATCATGTTAGGCAACTTCCAGAATGACAACAGCTCTTATCGGCGATGAGTATCCCCCTGTGAAAACCATCGCCCAGCCAGCCTCCTTATATCTCTAAACTTGTGGGAAACAAGCTTCCCTTTTTCTCAGTCTGTTGCCTCTTCTCACTTAGTTTCCCCTTTTCTTGATTTGCTGCATCACAGTGACATCGCTAGAGCTAATCTGAGGCATCAGATCAATAGACTGAAAGGAACAAAGTAACACTTTTGGATTAGTGCAATATAGAACAAGTGCGATATGGTACAACAAGTAGCATTATGACATTTTTGTACAAAAGCTTGTACTGTGTAAACTACTGCTGTAACAACTTAGTTATTGTATTACATTTCTTTTTCATAAATACTCAAATTCTATTTTTTAGTTTCTCTTTACAGTTTCCCTATCATTCACTCATTCTTACACACACTCACACACTGATGCTATCATGCTAGCCTACCCATCAGGACCACCTGCTTTCTGATCTGCACGCATTTGTCATGTTAATTTGCCGGTGCAGTTAATTCAAAATTAACACATCCTCTACCTATTTCACATTAATGGGATAACTTCAAGTTTTTTCAGCCTGGACCCTGGTTGGTTTTTGTCTGTGTGGGACAAACTTTCTTTGAAATTGGTCCAGTATTGAGCAAGCACGCTGCAGCTAACAGCAGCAAAAGAGGGCTGCATGTCATCCTTGCAGGCAATGGCGCCCCGACAAAGTGCGTCCACTAAAGTGCTTGTTTTTTCAGCTAGACAGGTTCAGACTGTTATTACTAAGTGTCTGACAACATTGTGGAAAGATTCCTACGGGGACAAATTTTTTAAAGAGTAACAGCATCTATATAACTCCCGTCACAGTCACCAGACTCCCGGTGACAAAAATAGTAATTTTACATCCTCGGTTTTTCCACTTAGTTGGTTAGTTTTTTGTGTTATTATGTGACTTTGGTATTTTTAACACTTTAAAACAAGAAAGTCACACAATAGCACAAACATGTTCTGCGAGGTGAAATTACCGTTTTTGTCAAGGGAGTCTAGGATTACGTTGCAGTCCTGTTTCGCTGCTGGCGACTGCAGCGCGCTCGCTCAATACTGGTCCAATTTCAATTTCTTTTGTCCCCATTAGATACATAATAGATAAAAAAAAAAGGTTTAAAGTATTTTAGGTAGAAAAAACTGACGTTACCCTTTAAAGGCCTTCCAGCTATTCAGCTGTACAGTAATCCTTCCTTCCTCCGAAGGCTTTTATTCAATTGAATTTGTGTATTCTGTTTTTATTTATTTTTCAAGGTGTAAGCACTTTGAACTGCAAGTTTGTATGAAAGGTGCTAAATAAACAAAGTTTATTATTATTATTATTATTATTATTATTGTGAATGGGTTGAGCTTCATTAAGACAAAGAAAAATACAATTATATACAATTTACTGATTTAGTGAGTTTGTATATTTGGTTAAAGGAGAAACTGTGTGTGCTTACTGTAGCTGTTCTTGGTCAACTGCAGAAATGTGTATCTATTGATTGAGCACTCACCACTGGGGGAATTAGGACCCTGAGGAACTGTCTGTCCATTAGGTGTTGACATATCTACCAACATTCTCGAGTTCTCCTTACCAGGAGAGCATTGGCCGTTACCTGGGAGACACACAGAGACACAGCAGTCTTCATTGTGCTGTACAATACTGTAGTTGTACAACAAACAGAATACAACGTTGTTAAATGCAAAATGTTCATGTTATATGTTTAATTATGTAATCATTAGGGCTCATGAAACTTGAAGAACATGATGGATAAAGAGAAAAATAAAAGGTTTATGATCAAATGATTAATTTAATCCCTCTCAGGTCTCCATCTTAGCCTAACCTAAATGGCCACTATGGTGGTCACCATATAGAATGCAGCAGGCAATTAATTAAACTGCCTTTATGCACCTATGTGATCCTAATGTCCAGCAAATGTGGATCAGATTGCATCCTCTCAGCAGTCTGCACAGAACACAGGTTATGGATAGCCCTGTGTCCACTCAGAGGGAGAGCAAACCAATCCCTTATCCCCTTACACCTCAGCCCCGTCAGGGTCACTAGAACAATACAGTGGCAACAGGCAAACACCCCTGCTGACCCAGGTGTCAGATCCCTCAGGAACCACAGTGAGCCATCACTCACCACAAGCACATTAAAAGGTTTTCCTCAAGCATTCTGACAACTGCGGAAAGCTAGAAAGCATCCAATATAATGACAACAGACTAAACACTGATGAAGCAATAGCGGCAGCCGAGGTGTTTTCAGTAAAAATCAAAGGAACGTGCTAAGAGCTACATCTGTAGTTGCTACAAGGAAGGCCTTGTTACAATTTGTTGGTGCTGAACATGTGTGCAATGATCTCTTATACATGAAAAAAGAATCTGTGTCAGATCTCCTCTTGCTGTGACAGCTCCTCTTAGTTTGACAACCTCTTTTATGGCATTGTTCCATTGTAGTGGCAGCCCCACTGAGCAGGGCATACTGGGAGACGTTGTCCATGACACAATCCCTGGGCTCATGTTGCACAGGTTGGGGTTGGAGGAAATCTCAGGTGACCAACACTGGCTATCCCATGGCAATGCTGTCCTCGAGACAAGAGTGGCCCAGATTTGTCATGAAGGATTTTCCATTACTGTAGCAGACGCTGACAGCCTAGCAGCAATATGGCTGGGTTGTCTCAAGAATAAACTAACAGTTTAGAGTTGTCTGGGTTCAAATGTTAAAATAAGCAACCATTAAAGATAATGTTTATTGAAAAGCTATCAAAATGTGTGCTGTGAATAATGCTGTCAATATGGTTTTCTTAATTAACGAAGAATCAAATAAAGATATTTCTCATCAAAGGCCACTGGCAATCAAAAGAATTAGTCACACTTATATTATGTCACTCTGTTGCTTATGAACTACACCCGCACAGGAGAGGATAAATTTCCACACCTGTTGAAACGGGGACCTCAAACCTTTAATGTTCGGAAAAAATGGCTGATACATTATGAACTTGAACAGGGTTAAAAATGCTCTAAACCACACACGTAAGCTTGCACAGATTAAACTGAAGGTTTGCGTTGGTGCCCCGCATTTGCTGAGTCAATCCTGTATGAACAGTAAGATCAGGATTTCAAACAGTCGAGACTTCCTTCTGGGATAATTGTATGTGCTGGCAAATGGAAAGGAACAAATGTGTACACATGAAACTTGTAGGTGTAATAATTGCTGACTTAATCAGTGACGCCAAATGAATGCATAGCTTCATAGGTACAGTAATCCTCTCAGAATTTAACAAGGGTCAATGCAATTTCTGGTCTTACAATGTATTCATAATAGAGCACAAGTACTTCTAAAGGGTATCTAGGTTCATGAAGAGTATGCAGGGACAATAAACTTAAATTAAACTAAGGTCAAACTCCAACTGCCTGCTTGTGATGGCAGAAAAGAGTAAGAGGCACAGAAACTGGCTCAATAGCACCCGTGTCTAGCAGTGTGAGGAATTCAATAAGATTCTTTTCCGGAGTGACAAGGCCTTCCGTTCTGGTCTGATTGGTAACATACTGTATGGAAGCTGGTTTTTCCTGTCAAACCCTGAAACTTTTTCTTAAGTCCCAGATTTATATCATACAGACACACAAATACAAGCACAAATACACCACTGACCCAGGAAAGAAAAAATATAGAGATAGATATATGATGATCAGTGATCAGTTATAAGATATTGCATTGGATTAGTGACACATTTCATTTATGAATAAATTAATATGGTTATATGTACACACGTTATTTCAGAAGTGTTACACACCTGTTAATTGCCAAGCCACAGAGTGCACTGGTACATTTCATTTGCAATAATCTATATTTGACCCTAAGAGCTAGCTGTTAGCTAGTCAATGGTTCTCCCATCTGATCTGAAGTAATAATCTGATTCGTCTCCGTAAAATGAAGGAGCATTTAGGTACATACTTCCTCACATACACATACATCATCATAATCTCACACATACCTCATCATAATCTCACACATACACCGCTATACTCTCCTGCACACCCTACTACTCCCTCTTGCATTCACAAACATACTCTCTCACTCACAATACCATTTTAGCATTCAATAATATTTAAATTATTACAGTAACAATGCTGACCTAATACCTGCAGCCAGCACATTTTATATGCTGAAACTAATCATTAACTACATGAGCTGGTTAAACAAAAATTAAAACTTTGGCATGCTGTTTTATATATTCTCTTGGCTGCTTTCTTTTGCTCTTTGCCTGCAACTATTTATGTTTGGTCAAAGATAGTTGACGAAGAAACTGCGCTCTTCACCACTTACCACTGTATTTGGAAATAGAATTAGTTAAATAAAAAAAAAGAGTGCTGTAAATGGGGCAATTTGAGTGCATGCAAAAAACACTTTGTTGTTTTTAAGATGATACTGGACCCAGTGTTTTCCCCCACATTATTGTGCAGACTGTCAGGTAAATGTGATTTGTTTCATCTGGAGGCTGATTGGATCTCACTGCTTAACTGAACTGGACTGACATGCAATGTGAAAATGTGATAAGGTTAAGGCTAATAGTAGTTTGTCTGGTATGAGGACAACTCATGCAGCTCATTATTTATTATTTTCCTCACATTTTCAGTAAGCTTTCCAGTGGCTTTGAACATAACACAGGATAGATTTTTACATCATCTGTCCATACTATTTAATGACATTTAACTTGAGCTAGACATCAAACCAGAGCGAATTGTGTTTTTTTCTCTGCAGAGTGTATCTGTCAGAAAACAGACATTAGGCAACTGTCAGACAAGTAATTAGCTGCTGGCAATCAGACTTCGTGCATTAGTTACCAACAAGCGGAAGGTAATAAAGAGAAGCTATACTATCCCAGTCAACACCTTGTATATAAATAACTGTATATATTGTTTATTTTATTTTAATATGTTACCATATTTTAAACAAATTTATTTTTTGTTGAGCTAAGTTCTGTGTGTATTGTTTAAGGTTATCAACTTAAAAGCTCCAAAATGGGACCTTCAGGATTCAAGGATATCAAGTATAGTTTGTCAAACTAGCATAAGCTTAGCCCACTAAAATGTAAAACTGTCAAAGGTGTTATTTAGCCAGCTTACACTGTCTGACATGACTTACCAGCAGTTATTCATGGACCTTTTTATTTTTTCTTTCATTATAGTATACTATGTAGCATGGTAATGTAGTATAGTGTATGTAGTGTAGTAGAAATTAGCCTGTCTGAGTCAGTGTCTGCTTTCGTCTCTTCTAAAAACGCACTTTTATCAGAAAGCATATCCTAATTTTATCTTTGCTGAATGCTTATTCTATTGTTTTGTTTTTGTTCTTGTTTTTTTTTGTCCTGATTATTTTAATATTTTATTTTCTTGTTTTTTCTTATTTTATTTTGACCCTCATGCATTTTATCATTCACTATGTTATTTTATGTAATGTTTGTCTCTATGTCTCCGTGAAGTACATTGTACTTTGAATTGATATGTGCTCTGTAAATAAAGTTCATGTGTGTTTGTGAGTGAGATTGAAAATATCAAATTTCTCAAACTGACCAATGACACAAGAAACAATAGAAGGGTGTGTACATTACTATCATGACAAGAGGATAATGTGTATTTCATAATTCATATAAGGGAATGATTGCACACATATGTGATAAATTAGATGTGAGAAAGGAAATTAGGGTGTTGTGTGTGGAAAAAGTGTAACTGTGTGTGTGTGTGCGCGTGATTACCAATGAGAGAGAGAACGACATATCAGCGACAGTGACAGCACACGTGGTTAAGAATAAAAGTGTGAAAAGAGTTTAAATCAGGAATATTCATAACAGGTAGGCAGCTTAAATTGTCGATTCATGAACAGCCTTCTTGAAAACAAAGGTTTTACCTGCTCAGTTTGGGCTACAAAGAGCATTCAAATCCAGCCACAGTGCGTTAAATAACACCAGGTATCTCTGGTCTTTCAGAAATGCTACCTTTACATGTATGGTCAATGCAAAGCTGTAAGCTGATCAAGAATTGATAGCACTAATATTGCCAATCACATATAATTATATAGACTGTCAGGCTGTATGGCTCATACTACTATTCTGAGTCACAGATACTATCAGCATTTCTTACATATAGACAATACCAGTATCTATATATGAATGTGAATAGGACTAATCTCCCACATAACTCTTCTAATTCAAATGTTTTCTGTGAAGTTCCACATCAGTTCACCCAGCTTAACTTGCGCAAGTTTGGATTCTTTTCCTTGCAGTTTGTGTTTATTCATCCCAAACAGCCAATGTAACAACTACCTTAACTGTAAGCTAGCTAGCAATGTATATACTTAATGTGTGTGTGTGTGTGTGTGTGTGTGTACTATATATATCAGACAGATGCAAAGTTCCTAAATGGAAATAAATAATTGAGCTACTTGTCTAATGATTAGGGCAGGTTCAAGGCTCTGTTTGGGCTACTTGGTATAAGACAAATCATGCAATGCTGTTAATGAGTCCAGTTCATGAACATACAGAGACAAAAACAGGAGATGGGTCCAGAGGACAATAATATAATGGACTGAAGTTCCTGAAAGGCTTTGTGACCAGACAGAGGTTGAGGCTGAGCTGCCACACATACAACCACAATACACACACACGCACAAATTTATATATAGAGAGAGAGCATATTATTAAAATACACTTACACACAAACATAGGTCATCTTTATCTACAATGTTTAACATGTCACCTTAAAAACAATGTAGCATACATGATGGACATTATTGGGTTTGGAAACTCCTTGATATGTTCAGAATAAACGAGTACATTAATGTAAAATAACTGGTACCAAGTCTTTTGAATAATGTTACATTAAAGATACACATGTAAGCTTTTATGAGCTTTAATGTGTTCATCAGTTTTCAGTTACTCCATGTCAGACCTACTGAACTCAGTGCAGTGTCAGTCTTAATCATAATAACTACTGAAATCACCCAAATAGTAAAGATTAGCCCGAATTATTGCAAACTGCCATATTTAAATGAAAAGTAGCCCTGATGAACAGAAAACTGGCCAATCTGGCAACACTGTCCATAAAGCCTTGATAAAGGGCACTCGTGGTTTGCACTGACTTTACATGCACTAGTGTCATCTCATCCCACATCTTTAACACCTTGCTGGAGACATGCTTTGTGCCAGCCTGCTTCAAAACCTCCACCATCAAAAAACAAGAACCATAATAACTATGTGGTAATGAAGTAATTTGAGCATCTTGTGCTGTCCCACCTCAAAGCCATAACTGACCCAGCTGAACATTATTACTTCGTCACCAAGAAAGCATCCCACCTATGCCTAAACCTTACGCCACAAGAACAGTTTCTACCCAGCTGCAGTTGGCCTCATCAACAAGGCCTGGGATCACCACTGACACTGACTCTTCTCCCTCACATAAACATAAAGTCTACACATCTGACTCAGTGCGTTACATTAACACACAGTTTTGCTTTGCACAGATTCTTCATACTTCATACTGTGAAAAATTCAGTCCATCCTCTTTGTTTTAAACATAGCTCCTTTATATTTTACATTTTATCATAAATTCCTATTTCATGTTTATGATTCTTGATTTTTGTGTTACTTTTTTTTTTCTTTTTCTATATTTATCCATCCATCCATTGTTAACCGCTTATCCTGCGTACAGGGTTGCTGGACAGGGTTGCCCAGCTTACATTGGGCGAAAGGGGGGGTACACCCTGGACAGGTTGCCAGTCCATCGCAGGGCCACACATAGACAAACAACCACTCACACCTAAGGACAATTTTAAAGACATCAATTAACCTAGCCTGTATGTCTTTGGATGGTGGGAGGAAGCCTGAGCACCCACACTGAGAACCCACACAGACATGGGGAGAACATGCAAACTCCACACAGAAATGCCGGGTCAACCGGGGTTTGAACTGTGAATTGAGCTGTGAGTGCTAACCACTGTACCGCTGCCCCTCTCACTCTCTCTCTCTCTCTATATATATATATATACACACACACACTATTACTGTGCGTATAAGACATTATATTTGTGCTGTTCTATGATGGTGAGTAGAAGAAAATGTTTGATTGTAAAAGGGCATGGCAGTATTTAGTGTAGTAGGATAGGGTAAGGTGGTGCGTGTGGGAGAGTGTAGTGGTGTATGTGCAAGATTATGATGATATGTGTCACAACAGCCATGATGGTCGACCTAAATTTTCTCTCATTGTCGGCAGTGAGTTTCTAATGTACTGAGAATAGAGTAAAATACATGGGAGTAATGAGGATGCAAACGGTTGCATTCCACAAAGATGAGTGTTTTCCGCAGTTTCATGCTAACGGAACAGACTAGCATTTGTTCCAAACTCATCATTTCAGAAGCGACCCACAGACGGACAGGGAGAGGAAGAGCCTCCATTTCTTCTTCCGCCGCCGCCCCTACCCCGCCTGCCAAGTGTTCCTATAAGAACAAACCCCCAATGGAGACCTAAAATCCCCAATGATGTCATAAAAAACATGCTACCTGTTTTTAGATCTGCACACAAAAGTGAAATACAAGGGGGGGGGTTGCAGGGATGATATTCAAGAGACCTGCCCAAAGGAAACCAGCAAAGGGCAATGGAGCACCACAAAGTGCATATCCAGTATCTGCTGCATTCAACAGGATGTTGCTAATGCATAGTTTTCGCTACCTTTAAGGGGTGAACAGGAAAAAGGCTGCACTTGGGGAAAATCCCTTGAAATGTTTATAGAGTTGAGATTGCAAAAATGTTGTTTGTTTTTTTGTTTCAGCATCGTATCAAAAGTTGGAAGATATGTGAAAGTCAAAATAATTCAATAACGTCAAAGTCACAATAACATACTAGCACACAAATACAATCGTGATTATCACCATCATCAATAACACATTCCGATTGACTGCATAAACTCTGTCCTCGGGTGTAAAGTCTGGGTCAGTGAGTGTCAGTGTGTATTGAATGTAAGTGATACAAGGACTTACTAGCACTGTAGCCACTGGGAGTCTCCATTTCAAGTGCTGCAGGGAGTGCTGCAGGGAATATAAAAGTATTAATAAGAATTATTGAATGTGTGTATTTTAAAAGCCAAATTGAAACACGGCATTAGCTCTGTGTCATAATAAATAGCATGCAACAATAGTGTGCTCCTTTAGAATTAACCTTTCTCAAGTGTTCATACAAATACCATGAACCTGCAAACGATTGCTTAGTTTAAAATCAGATTAACACCAAAATTTAAGGCCATGAAGCAGCTTTGGGTGCATGGATTCCAGTTTACAGCAGTGCATTACAACAGACTCTGGTCTGTGCATTAGAGAAGTAGTCAGCATATTTAGCAAGCGACCCTATGAACTATTTTTAATGTGTGAACAGCCTCGTTTTTTGTTCTCTATAAAAATATTGCCTGTTCTTTCCATTTTACTTCTAGGAAATTACACAATAGATGAGCTCCAACTTTTTTTTTTTTTGAGGCAGAAATGATGCCATATTCTTTCTATTCAAAACAGGTCAAAGAAAAAATTCAAATGTACCTATTCACTACAGTGACTACAGAGTACTAGCTGCACTGGTTCTAAATTCTAGTTACATTTGAACTTTTTGTGCAAAACTGGTATTAAACTGACAAAGCAATCGACACAATAGATAACATTAACTTAAAACGAAACACAAGGCATTCAACCGGGCAAAGATACATTTAAACACATGCCTTGTTTTTAAACTTAATATGTTTTAACTTTTCTAAACATTTATGGGAAGGATTATATTACAAGGTGGCTTACATGTTTCTTTGAGAAAGTTGTGAATAAGTTGAAAGTTTCTTGTAAGTTCATTAAATTTTTTATGAATTGAATCTTTAGACCTCAACCCTTTGTTACCGCTCAGTAGAACATTTGCTAAAGTCAACACATATATAAAGTGTGCAATGATTATTATCATTTGGAATAAGATTGCATTGGAGATCATTGTAATAAAGTTGAATAATATCCATCTAAATAATGAGTCAGATCAAACAAAACATTTCTGTTATGCCACAACACAACTGCTGGCTTTCTTAGAAAAACACAAGGCTTAAACCTTCCATTAAAATAATCAATCAAGTAACAACTATTTCTACTACAAAAGTGTAGAATATCCCACATCCTTGTTGAGTTTCTTTGGCCTGAACTAGTTTCTAGTAACAGTTGATTGTATACCAAAGATGATGAAAATCTGACTCATACCCAGCTACATTTTTCTTAATGGTCTGAGTTCTTAATTTAGCCTCCCTATGTCGCTACATGGAGAAAACTTTAGCCACTTTCCAGTCACAGAATGCTGATAAGCCATTTGTTTCTTCATGATATGTGAAACAGGAAACCAAAAGAAAGTAAGGTGTAATAAATAGGGTGAAAATCATATCTTTACCTTCAAGCTTCTCCCCTGTGCAAAATCAGTTGATAATTTCAGTCTAGGGCAGAGAGAGGAGGTGGTAAATTGTCTCCACCTCCCTTTAAAGAGAGAAAAAAAGTCAAAATTACCTATTTGGTCCGGTGATCTCACACAAATGTACGAAAGAAAACACTTGTTTTAGGTCAGCACGTTTCAAAATCAGCCAAAATGAAAGGAACATGAACAAGCTTCTGATGATTGATATGAGCAAGTTCAGAAAAAAAGAGAGAAAAGTTTAGGAGGAGCGCAAGTATGGAATCATACAGGTGACTGTTGCCTCTTCTGCGCGCGTCTCGTCGAGTTTTCCACTTCAAAATCGACCCCGTCCCATCGAGCTCTACACTGACTTGGTTCAAACTTTTCATCAGAAGTCACACAACTATTAGCTGAGCGTACACAGCGCACTTTTACTACAGGAACACCCAGGGAAGACTCAACAAGTTGGTGAAGGAAAGAAAGAGAGGGATAGATCAAACTGGATCCACCGGTTCCTAAGGAATTAGCCATAGCGACAGGGAGCAGCCAAGCTATTTTCAACAACTAAGAGACTGCAAATCCGTGTGTAGACAATCCTGAAAAGCTACTGTGAGATGTGACTCGAGGTCGGACAGGCAGAGCCTCGTGCGTTTTAACTGCTAAGGGAATAATGTGATGTAGTGGCAAATGCAGCGGTTGGTAAACTGCTGTATGGCCGCCATACCTTCAAAGAACATGAAAACCAACCAATATCATAAAAACAATGTATTGTGCCGTCAGAAATTCAAACAATTATTTCCCCTTTTCTCAATTTATGGGCCACTTTTGACACGACTTCCTAGTGGGCTATGTCTACCTCATAAATATGTCAGCAGCAAAAAGGTTTTGCAGATGTACAGACTGGTTCAGCAGTGAGGACAGAGCGCATTTACCTGGCAGGCAACAGTGTTTCTCTGGAAATAACCATTAGCTGCAAAACCGTGAAGCTGTTTTTGTTGTTATTATGGCAACGCGCTGTTTTTCTCGTGTTATGTGATTTTTTGCTGGATGAGTTGCCCGCATGGCTTGGAGCTGACTGACAGCTGCAATTCAACAGGTTATCCGATCACCGCAGTCTACAGCAGAGCCCGTCTGGCTTTCCATTCATCAGACAGACGCTCCTTGTCTGCCTTTGCCGCAGACATGCGCCTCGATCCAGCGGGTCTGAAGCGTCTGTAGCCTGATAGTCGAATAATACTGAATGGCTATTAAAGCAGCAACAGAATGGTCAGTTAATAGCCTACAGATAATTCATGCACTCATGTTTCTCTCGCTCTCTTTTTATTTACCTTAAACACGTAGGAGTTCATATAATCCCATGAACTTGCACATTGATCCCGACTGAATGTCTTGGTTTGGAATGGATTTCATTTTAGCCCGACAGGCGCCATGAGGTGCGGACTGAAAGGTAGTTTGATTCCGCAGCAGCAGCAGCAAAAGCAACAGTTGTTAAATCCACCAGTGACTTCCTCCTCCATCTCCTCCAGAGCAGAGCAGAGCAGAGCAGCAGACAACCCGCCCGAGTTGCTATTCTGGGAAGTTGGTCTGACACAGAGAAACGGATCACAGAGCGCGGACCCAGTCTGCCTCTGTGCTCGGCAATCGATTAGGTTACAAGGGGCCTCTTATTTCTGAGGCTGCAGCCAGGTTATATCCCTGTGGCGCAAAAGCATAACTGCCTCACTCTTAAAGTATGTCTACAAGAGACCATATGCCTTTTTTTCCTTCTTTTTTTTATACACATCCTGCAACTATTAAGTTAAAGTTTTATTGTAGAAATTTTGCAACATCTGTGACAAAAAAAACAAAACACATTTTTAATCAATAAATGATAAATAATTGCACATGCCCTCATCTAGTCTTGTTTTGTCAAGAACTATGACTATTGTTATAATAAGAGCCTGACCGATACTGGATTTTTGAGGCCAATATCAATATGAATACTAACCAAGATATGTTATGTGTGTTGCTCACACTGAAAAATAACCCGTCATCACTGGTGGACAATCTATGTCATTTTCAAAATTACTTTAAAAGGATCTTTGACATTTCACTACTTCACTTTATTGTCACTGATCAGCCAGCATATATATATATATATATATATATATATATGTGTGTGTGTGTGTGTGTGTGTGTGTGTGTGTGTGTGCCTATACCAAAGATTTTGAAAACAGCTAAAATCGGCAGATGTTTTCAGCCCTGCTGACTCTGAGTCTGCTCTGTCAATGATGATGCTAAATAGCAATAGTTTGGTACATAATATGGTTGAAAAAGAAATTGCAATAGTAACCTAATTGTAATATTGTCAAAATGCTCACAGTAGATGGATACCATTTTTTATATGAATGAATCTTATTTGTCTCATACAAAAATCTTGAACCAAAACATAGTAAATAAATCGACAGAATAATAGAACATTACGCAACTAGATACATAGGCCTATCATATAACACTATGGTTTCGAGGGGACCTCAAAAGTCCCTAAAAAGAGTAATGCAAGTCAGTTTTTCTGGATGATCTAATTGCCGACTTGAATGTAGCAGAATCAGAAGCAAATCCTGTCCTGTTGTTATAAGGTCAGTTTGAGTTTGGGTAAGATAGTCAGAGTTCTTAGATGTGGGCTGATAATTGGCATAGTTCTAGCTGTTGTCACTGTTGCTTGCTAATGTGGTAACAGCAATGTGAGTACTAAATAGGGGTGTACCAATACAGTTCGATTCAGTATAAAACATAAATTGGGGTTAACAGTGTGATCAGATGGACTTGATATTTTTAGCAGCAAGTTTGACTGAAAACAAATAAGAAGGTTCCAATTTTATCCCACTTTATGTAAACAATGCGTTTTTATTTACACCAGTTATTCTGATGGATCTCACAATGCAAAATAATATAACTTTCAAATGGAAAAATAGCAGGTTTGATCTCTTTTTAAGCACATAATAAATTATAGAATTAAAAATGCCTTGTTGGAAATGTCCTCATTGTAATGATAAGCAAAAGTCTGACTCTGGTTAGACAGCACAACAACTCAAATTTAAACATCTTGACAGCAGTTTGGCTTAGGTCAGTATATTTTAACATTCTTAAGCAGTAGTTTTGAGACAGTTCTCACTATAGGGAAGTACAGTATATTATTTAATTGTGGTCTGTTGCCTTTAACCTTGTGTTTTATTGACACTTCATTGTTTGGTGCCTCGCAGACCCCACTGTTGTGTGTTCAAAAATAGTAATTATAACAGAAAGTGTTTACCTTTGTTTTCTCTTTTTACTTCTTCTGACCTAATTAAACCCAAGTATGTAGAGACCCTTCCTTTTGCACATTTGATGAAGATGACAAACTATAATTGCTTTGTTTGGTGTAATAATACCAAACAAGGCACAACGTAATGTCTTATATATGTTGGGCTATGCATTAACAAATGTATATTAATTTTGTTTGCCAAAGTCATGTACAGACAAAGAAGTGTACAATATGTTATCCAACACAATCTTACCGTACCCCGTCCAATAAAAGAAATCCAAATAGATAAGCATACTGCACACTCTTATTTGGGAATTGAAAGCAGTAGTGCTGCGTACAAATTCTGCCAACACCTTTTAAAAATATAGAGAATACAAAAATCCATTGTATTTAACCATATCATCAATTCAAAATCAGGGTCAATAGCAATTCTCATATGAAATATCATAAATTATCATGCTGTTTAAACAATGGTGTTTGTTTGTTTGTTTGCTTGTTTTGTAGCTGTCAGAGGGGGCCTAGGGTCTCCTAGGAGCCCAAATAAAACCTTAGTCCTGCAAAAAAAAACCTTAGTCTTACATTCGAGCAGACTGGCAGCAATTTCTGCTCCCTGCTAAAATATTTGACAGAATGATCATTTTAGTTTAAAAAAAGCATGTGGATGTTGTAGTGGCCTAATGTAAGCAGCAGTATCAGCTATTATTAGCAGTATTATAGTTATAACAGGCCAGGAGAGTAATGTAGTGGAAAGGCCAGAATGAAAAACAAATTCTTTAGCTGGTTTAAAAAGTTACTTTTATCTTATCAAAGTGTGAGGGAATGGTGGCATCCCCCAGCCTGACTATATCTCAGCTAAGTTTTCACTATGAGATTTATGTCTGGAAACAGCCACTCAAGATTTGAATCAGCCTGGTCACCGCAAAAATCAGCAAAAGAAGTTTCTGTAACTGTATAGCCTGTTTCTCTGCTCATATATAGTGTATTTAGACACTTATTTTGCTGGATAGGTTTGCAATACTACATTCTCAGAACAACCAACATGATGTTTCAATTCAAAGCATAGAAGCAAAGACAATGACGGCCTAAAGAGCTTGTCCAAAGACTCTTAACTGAGTAAAGTAGAAAACTATCAATTGTCCAGTGGTTGGAGAAGTTCTCAGATCATTTACTTGAATAAAACTACCAATACAACAATGCCAAAATATAATATTACAAGTAACAGTTCTATTATCAGCAAAATGTACTTTAAGTATCAGAAGTAAAAGTACTGTTTTGCCATAAATTGCCCCAGTGTGATTGCTATACAGTATTATCATTCAGTATTATATTAGATTGTTTACTATGGGCGGCTGCGGCTCAGGAGGTAGACCGGGTTGCCCGTTAATCGGAAGGTTGCATGTCGAAGTATCCTTGGGCAAGATACTGAACACCGAATTGCCTCTGGTGGCTGTATCGCCAGTGTATGAATGTGTGTGAATGTTAGTTTCTGTTTGAGCACTTAGGCTCAGTGAATTTGGATGTAAAAGCGCTTTGAGTGGTCAAAAAGACTAGAAAGGCGCTATACAAATACGGAGCATTTACATATGATGAATGAAAGCATGAATAAGTTGTATGTTTTCTGTTGTTGCTAGTCAAAGTGGAGCTAGTTTAACTACTTTATATAGAGTTGGATAGTTGTAATGTGAATTAGTTCTGTGGTTCCCAACCTAGGGGTAGGGCCCCCTCCAAACGGTCACAACAGAAAGCTGAGCAGTTTAAGATGATTGGCATGATCATCACCAAGATCCCATCTCGTTTACGCCACCCACTATAGTGTTAGGAAAATATACTACACAAAATAAGCATTAAATAAAAAAACATTTAATACTTCCCTGTGTTAGAATGCTTGGCTGAGATGGTCATCTCCCCGTTGACAGACAAACAACAGAAAAATATTTTCAACCCTGTTGTTTTGAAAGCAAAGCACTGTATTCTGAATACTCATCATTATGCACTTTGCACCTGACTTAGAGGTTTGACATATATTGTTGTGAAATTTAACAGGGCAATAGTGTATGAGTGTATCTATGATTCTGTCTACATGTAGCCTCCCAAAACACTGCTTGCAGATTATGCTCCTGTTGGAAATGGTCGTATATTCATCATAAAAAGTCTAATTACATAGAGTAAAATAAAATATATTAATAAATAGAAGACTTCACTTACCTCAAGATGCATGTTTTTATCTATCTATGTCTAACATTTTATGTTGCTGGATGTTTGTAAACACAAAATGTCAGCTTTTTAAATATTTTATTAATTTGTTAAATACATCTAAAACTGGTTTCAGCTTTCTTGACTGTGACTAATTATCTTGCAGCTTTCTTGTTGCTACAGTGACCTTGCTGAATAAATTACTCATGTATAGAGCACCAAGGTAAAGATGAAATATTTTTTGTCTATAAAACATATGAAACCTTCATCCTTGTTCTCGTCACCGACTATACTGTTAAAATAAACCTGGTTGGAGCACTGTAAAAAACGCCCAACCTTCCTCTGAAATTCTGCAGCAAGAAAGGTGAAAACACTTCATAAGCTGTACAGTCTATATAAACAATTTTCCTGGATAATTTAGTGGCACACACTTAGATCATTCACAAATGGATAAGGAGGATTGTGTGGCTATCGCCTGCCCTTCTACACTAGTACAGCCAGTATTTGACCAGTAGCGCTAGGAGTCAAAGTTGGAGTAGTTGCAGTAGTGGAGGCATTGTGTTGTAATAATAGCTGACATATTAGTAGCAGTGTCAGTAGTCATAGCCATGGCGGTGACATTTGTAGCAGTAAAACTGTAGATGAAGGATAGTAATAGTATTAGTAAAAGCAGAAGCAGAACTACTACTAGAAGCAGTGTAGAAGTGCTTTGTCATTAGTAGTAGCAATAGCAGTCAGTTCTCATTTTTACAGGATTTTTAATATGCTGAACAGTAAAGTTTCCATCATTGCCATTTTCATGTTTTCTTGTTTATTTTTCCAATGTTGTGTGATGTCAAATAGTGCTGCACCTCTTTGCCACTGCTGCAGAGTCTCTTCTCTTTGACTGCAGCTCATGTGGTTTACTCCTGTGGTAAAGAAGGGATAACACCAGTGAACTATTGTTAAAGCCAAGTACGCAGTTTTATTTTGTACCTCAACTAACGTTCAAGAAAAGTGAACAAGTTTCATACGATTTTGACTTTAATGTCATCTGAAAATCGTCATCTTTTGTCGCCTTCTTTAGAGTAAATAATTTTCTGATTGTGATGTAGTTTTCATATGAGATGTTTCATCTCCTCTGTCTAACCTCAACCAAATGACAACTGCCATTGAGTGGCTGAATGCTTCCCCCTGGTGTCTGTGTGCTGACAATAGCTCCAATCCTCCTTCGTAACAAGACAGCAT